ATAATGATTTACCTAGTTATACAAATGTGAAGTTCTTCTCTTTATGTAATATCCTATATACTGTGCGTGAGTGCGTACAATTTCTATTCTGTTCATGCCGTCCTGCAAACATTGCCTTGTCCACATATAGAAAAATACTAGTTCTCATGTTTCTCCTGTATGTGTACTTATCAGCTACAATATGGTGTAAAAATTATAAATCTAATCCTGTTATCTAAATTAGCAAATTATCTTAGAATCAATTGTATTATAATTATATTATCGAATATTTTAACAACAATGTTTATTAATCTATTAATACTTTTATATATGTAAGTTGTAAAAATAGTTTAAAARATGTTAACAGTTTTTAAGTGCTTGCACTATGTAGTTTAAGAATTTYAAACCGTTTTAAAGCCATCATATAAACAGTATATATTGATGATTTTCAGATTATTCACAAAAAATTATGTCATATTTTATGTAATATAAATACATTTTATATAATAAGAACTTAGATTATACATTTTTTGTTCTAGATAATTTGTTTTCAAGAAGTTCAAGAATCTCATTTAAATTGGTTCTTTAAGAAGTTATCAGATTTAGGTAAAGTACTTTTCACAATAAATTTAAAAAACTATTAAGTATGATATAGATTCCAATAATAACAAATTATCATTTATATCTATTAGGTTATAATGGTGTCTATAAAAAACGAACTCGTGCTCATTGTGACGGCTGTGCTATCTATTACAGAAATGATAAGTTCTCATTAAAAGAAAAGGTCACTGTAGAATACAATCAACCAGGAGTAAATGTATTAGATCGAGATAATGTTGGTATTGTATTGAGATTGTCACCACGAAATAATGAAGCAGAAAATATAGTTGTTTCGACTACACATATCTTGTACAATAAAAAAAGACATGATATTAAGTTGGCTCAAGTTCATTTATTATTAGCTGAAATTGAGCGTGTTTCATATAAAGGGCTCAAAAAGTAATTTAATTTYGCATTATTTACTAATTTGTATTTTAAATTTAATAGATAATTATCAGTATATTTTTTTTAAATATTTCTTGTGTAGAGGTGGTGATCATAATATTCCCGAATACCATCCAATAATATTGACTGGGGATTTCAACTTGGAACCTAATACTGCTGTTTATGATTTTTTAATCAATGGTGCTCTATTCTACAGTAATTTACAAAAACCAACACTTTGGTCTCAAAATAGTCAGAGCGGAAGATGTAACATGGGAAATGAACTTATTCCAAAGAATTTAGGTATTACTGAATATAGTCAGCATTCAGATATTTTAGAGTTAAGAAAAAAAAATAATCATAAGCGACAAATTAATGACAGTCTTTATTCAAAGGTAATTAATTTAAAGAAATAAATAATCCATTTTTTCTTCACTAAAATTTATGTTATTTATATATTTAATTTTTTTTTTTTATGGATGATGGCAGCTATATCATAGTGAAAGAAAAAATGAACAACTATTATCATCTCCTTCKTCAGAATTCAAGTATTTAAATTTAATTTACAATATTTCAATAGTTTTAAATTGTTATAAATAAATTATTTCTTAGGTTTGGAACTGGGAGTGTGTATCATAACCTTAAGTTTTCTTCCGTTTATAATAACAATAATAGCTGTTCTACGTATCATGACCGATGGACTATTGTAGACTACATATTTTACACGTAAGATAATAATATATTTATGACATTCAATAACCTTATAATTTATATTACTAAAACATCTTAAATAATTCATTAAATTTATGAATGGTCATAGCAATACAAACTTAAAACTGAAAACTTATATGAAGCTTCCAAATTTTGCTGAATGCCAGCCAATATTAGCGATGCCAAACAGAGTATCTCCGTCCGATCATCTACCACTGTTTGCTAAATTTAGTTATAAAATAAAATAATATTTTTTGTATCTGATCTCCAGTGTATTATATTGTTTTTATTTTTTTATAATATGTATTACAATTCCTGCATTGAGTACATAACTACTAAATTTATATAAATGTATGGTATTCAGTTTTAACAACTTCTTTTCTTGTGTTTAATTACCAAAGAAAGAAATTTGAAATTAATTAATTAATTAAAAGCATTCTTGAATTGCAATAATTAATAAGTTAATAATTAATTAACAACATATTATTTATTAAATCTAAATAGGTGCAAAGTGCTAATTGTTTATTTGTTATGGYTGCTAATCACTAAAATCTAGAGCTATTAAACATTTCTAAATCATTACAAAACAAGTTTTAAAAAATTATTTAAATTTATTACTGATTATGACAGCATTAATTAACATTCCTTTTTTTTTTTTGCTTATTTTGGGCCGCTTAGACCCATTTCTGCTTCCACTATGCCTCTATACAATTCTCTTATTTCTCCATACCTGATTCCTAGGAGTTTAAGATCTTCTTCAGTCAATTAATACATCAATATAATTTATTATACTACCAAAGCTGATATGTTTGGGGTGGACTAAGCCCTCCCTCAATTAATATCCATGCCACCTCCCGGCTCATTTTTTACTATGTAAGATAATCGATGCTGCTCGGATATGCAATCTTCGACATTATTCTGCTTGGATATGCAGTCTACATATTATTTTGTAGATCTTGTAGTAAGGTACATGTACCTATAATATACAATAGTGCAGTACGTAAATAAATAAGCAATTGCAAATAATATTGAAATATTATAATTATTTGTGTATTATCAAAATAAAACTAATTAAGCAAATTAATAATATGCCATTAATTATACCATTTCACTACCACACTTATGTGATGGTTATGTTTCTTCTGCAGTGTCTTATAAGCCATGTCCCCTTAAAAATGTAGTGGCATTTTCTTCACTATAGGCGACGGTCAAATAAAAATTCATGATATACAATACACACAAATAAAAACACCAATGTTGAACTTATTAAGTATAAATACACTATCATACTGGTATATCAATGATTTTATCTTTAGTACCTACCTAACAATAAATATAAGTGGAAAATACAAGACTCTATTATATACTTAATTATACTTTTCTCATTTACTACTCATCATAAATTAAATTGTATTTATCAAAGTACATAGAAAAATATTTATGAGACACTTACGTGTAGCGTGTTATAAAAGGGACATAGGGAATTAGTATACATTATAGTACAATACAATGATTATTTACAGTCACAATTAGTATTTAGGGTAAATTGTTATTCRTTTGACCATTTTTTTAAATTATGGTACCCAATGAAGATGTAAGAATACAAATATATGAATTTAAAAGGACGTTTTGCCCGCATGTGTTGTCTCTGTATTACAAGTGCTTAACATAATATATGTTATACCCTTATACCCAGCAGATCTTTTTTTAGGTTCATTAGTTCAAAATTATAGAGTGAATTATCCTCTAATAAAATTTAAAGATAAGAATATTATTTAGACTATCTCAAGGACTTTTTAGTATATTTTAATTTTGAAGCAAGTAATAAACTAATAAGTAATATAACTTGCTTCAAAATTAAAATATAGTAAAAAGCCCATACGATTGTCTRAATAATACTCTTGTCCATAAATTTAATAAGAAGGCAATTCACTCTAATTTTTAACTTAACGTGGCTAAGCATGATCTGCTGAGCATAAAATTTAAGATGTTAAGCACTTTTAAGATGGAAACAACACATATATAATGGCAGTGGCGCCGAAGTCCTAAAAATCTAGTAGGGCAAAAAATATTTCAAGAGGCCCAACATCTTAATATCGGAAAAAATGGCATACCGTTGAGAGGAAAATGGTCAATATGAAACGGCCCTATCTTAAATTTTCAAAATATGTCGGGCCATGGCCCGACCTTAATATAGGGTTCGGCGCCACTG